TCCCTCATGCCGTGCACTGGGGAGCATCCCTTTACAACTGTTACCATGGGCCCCAGTCAGAGCTCCCTGTCTTCCTCTGCTTCTGAGAGGGCGGGTGTGAAGTTCCCTGAGTCATTTACTTGGAGTGAGTTCCAACTTTACAACCAGATTGAGTTTGGATCCTCCCAGGTGGGCCCTTCTCAGTCCTGCTTCTGCTCTGACCAGTGGGCAGGATATTTCCAGACCCCAGCTCAAGGGCTAACCTATTATGAACCCCAAATCTATGCCGTTGGTTAGGTTCTGTTTTCCCTTCCTGTGGGGCTCTTCCACTCACATCTGTGAGCAGGTGACAAAGTCCTAGCCCCACCACTAAGGCATGATTCTAACCCTGCTCCAGTGAGGGGCTCTGGCTAACCCTGCAAAAAAATACCCCATTTTACCTTGAGAGCAAGGCTGTGTTTTTCTTCTGTCAATCTCAGCCAGGTATTAAAACAAGTTCTGTTCACTTCTTTGTAGAATTGCTCTATGATTGAGTTAGAATGGGCAGAAGGAGCTTTCAAATCAGTCAAATCCTTTTGATAGACTGACCCTAAACTAAACACCAGCTCTGCATTAAGTCATATGGATTGTTTAATTCTTGTGTCTAACGACACTGCCCAGAGCTGGATACATGAGGGACTGAACTAGTAGAGGAAGATAGCTGTTTCATTACTTCAGCATCTTGTCTCATTTGTAAAGATCTGCATTACTGATGCTCTCCCTGGATTTTTCCTAGAGGATATATGACCTGTTGTTATCAGCTGGTAGTCCAGCCTTTGGGCTCTCTGCTGTTGTCAGCCCCTGGCTGTGAGGGCCCCCACTAAGGGTACATGTTTTCTTTGAGTCTCTGACAGGCACCACTTCCCACCCAACTTCAAGAAGATGACATCCCATTGCTATCTCCCATGCATCATCTCCCTTCTTGTTTTCCACTGTGACTCTATTTAGTATAATATTTATAGTGTTGACAGTTGACTACTACCCATGGCACTGTCTCTTCTGGGCTTTTTTTTTCCTGAGTGTGTATGTATATATGGTGAGCATGCATGTGTGGATGTTCACAGGTGCACATCTATATACAAAGACAAAGGTGGATGTTGTATATCTTCTTTAGTAGCTGGCCATTTTATTTACTGAGACAAGAGTTTCTTGTTGAACTCAGAGCTTGCTGATTTGGCTATCTATCTTCCTGAAGATACCATATCTACTTCCAAAGTGCTGGGATTACAAGTGGGTCACCATAGGCACCCAGTGTTTCGTGGGTATTGGGGACCCACTCACTAAACCTCACACTTGTAAAGCAATCTCTTTAACCACTAAAATCTCTGGGTCCCTTCCCAAATTTAAGGGATCAATGAGGTATCTCTTCAGTGGAACTCTGGGCTCTTGTAGACATTACACCAGGACAGCACTGCTTCACTGCAATTGGGTTCTCAGTAATTGCTTCTAGAGATACAGTAGACAGACAGACAGACACACACACACACACACACACATGCACGCATGCACGCACGCACGCACGCACGCACGCACACACGCACACACACACCTCCACTATTCTAGAGCAGGCGAATCTCTGTCTGTCCCAGAGGTAAATGATGTAACTGTCTGGGATTTGAGTACAAAATGTGTCGCTCCACTTTCCTGCTACTAATTGTGCCATGGAGGAATAAGGGAATGAGATAGTTGTAGAGAAACAGAGTCCCTGTGTTTAGTTGGTGTTGAGTTCATCTCTGGTCCCATTCCTACAGGCAGGAAGACCAGCTGTGTTTCAGAGGGTGAAGCACACACTACGCGCCAAAGTGTTCTCGGCTCTGCTCCATAAGCCTCTGCAGTCTTGACAGTATTTAGCTGTGAGAGACTGCATCTGGGACCACTAATCCGAAATGGTACTTTTAATTTAAAGCGTCTTACAGAATTTAATATTTTTATCCTTGTTGAATTAATATTAACGCCACAAGAAAATCAAGACTAGAAGATTGTGTATATTTCAGTATAACTGCCATGTTAACATCTAATAAATGTTCTCATGCTGAATCTAAAGATGGTTGCACATTGCCAGTACCATTCTTTTAGGGTCTACAAAACAATGTGCAGAATATTCAACAAATGGGACCAAGCATTCTGCTGGGATTTTTCAATGTCCTATGAATGACTATCATTGCTCTCAGGTCCTGGCAAGGAACTCTGGAGTCCAACTTCCACAGGTGGCTGTTCAGCCATTACAGTTCAGATCTTAGAATTGCTTTGTCAAGAACATCTGATTCCCCTTCCAGCTGGTACTGATTTGCTTCTGTCCTATAATTCACTGTTCCCAGGAGAAAAGAATGTTCCCAGAGAACTCTTTTACCATTCTGATTGTTCCCAACTTTCTTATCCATTTGGCTTCTGGTGTGTTAATCCTACTCCATTAGTATGGTTTTCTAAAAGATAGGTTTGTATATTTCGGTGTGTGAGCCTGTATTAACAGTCCATGGTTAGAGAGGCTCATGGAAGGGAAGGCCTGCTTCCCTGCTGGGTCTGTTCCATGGCTCCTCTCTGATAGATGTAAGCATCTGGTGCAGGATTTGTGGTGTCAGGACTCAGTGCTGACAGAGATACTCAGCCAGCTTAAGACTCTGGATTCCATCAATAGCACAGCAAAGGAGTGGAAAGGAAGGGAGACAGGCAAAGAAATATCTGGCACTGCTTTCTGCACACGGAACGATGAATATTGTTCATCGCCTCATGTGTAGATGAATACTAATAGTTTAAAGCTAGACGACTGAAGTTTTCTTCTGTATGCTAATTTATGCTAATGAACAGGAAATCAAACAAGTTTTATTTGTTGTTGTTGAGAGGTTTTCCCCTTTAGCAAGCCATTTTAATATGAACTTCACGGCCATCTGTGTATTTGTGGAAATCAGGTGGGAATTCAGAACTTCCTTCCAACCCAAATATAGAAATGAGCGAAGTCATCAACATGCATTAATTATCAGCCTGCCAGGAAAAGACTGGAGGGCAAGATTAATATTCTTTATGCAAGGTAAAATGAAAAGCAGATTATACTTTACAACCGAGCAATTTCATAGTTAATATAGTAAAGAAGTGTTAATGGTCTAAAGCAGAAACTAGAATGTATACTAGGAAAGATGCCCACAGAGAACAACAGCAACAATCAAGCTAAGATGAAAATGACTCAACTGGACTGACTGATACCAATTGGTTTAGAGAAAAACCATCCTCCATTGTATACCCATGGCTGACATCGTTAGCTGGTCCTGGCGACAACTCGTCCTGTCTTTCTGTACACGGTTCTTCTCAGGAGCTTCTAGACACTTGGTGAGTGATAATGTAGATTATTATCCAATGACGTCTCACCCCTTCTACAGGCAGAGTGCATGTCCCTACCTTACTCACACTGAACACTGCTATGAGCAGTATGGTGGGTTGGTAAGACAGGCCTTCAGTAAGCCTGTGAGAGCTGACCTCTAGCTCTTGCCCCAGTAACTGCTGTGAATGGAGCATGCTGGGGGCATAGCTAGAGCGCATAGCGGGTGCTCATGGGGCATGTCTGAGCCCCATCTGTAGCCCGAGACAGAGCACAGGAGAAGAATCAAGATGTTCTTAGTTGCAAGTCACTGAGGGATGTTTGGTCCATCTTAGATGAGCCTTATGTATCATCCTTAAAGTGAAGACCACAAGGAAAGGAACAGAATAAAGTAGACACATCATCCAGAATTAATGACGATCCGATAGAAGAATAGGTAACCATGCTGGAAGCATGAGAAATGAGACAAGTTTCGGGTTGCTAGGCTGCTCTGTGCAGGGTCAGAGGCACTGCCTCTAGTGAACTCATCTGTATGATGCCAACGAGAAGGGAGAACCCAGATGGAGGTGTGGATAATGACCCAGAAGCCCGAGATAGCAAAATTCTACCAGGCCTGAGAACAATAAAGGTCTGAGAATAAAGTCTCATGAGAAAGCTATCTAATCAACATTTAACCTCCAACAAAACATTGTTATGCTGGAAACAGTCTTGGTCACTGAATCATCTACAAGGAGCTTGGACGGACAATGGTGTGAGATGGGAGGCGCGAGAGCATCACTGAATGGTGACCCTTCCGCTGAGAAAGCTGATTCCTGAGGCCATGAGGCAACCAGTGCCACCTGGTTGAATTAAAGGGAAGATTTTCATCTTCTTTGTCTCAATGGCGCACTCATACCAACAAACAAATAAACCACCACCAACAGCAACACAGAGACATCAGTCTTACTGAAACATTCAGCACCCCATTACTCGTTGGCACCTGTTTCAGTGCTTAGTATATGAGAAACATTCAAAAACTATTTTTGACAAGTGAATGAACAAATGCAAAAATGAAAGTTAAATACATTACTGTTGAGTCCACCATACATAAATGAAAGTCATAAAAAACAGTAGTAACGTCCATTTAAACTCTATTCACCTGGCTTTCTTTAGTTCATTTGATAGACTGAAATGCCTGGCATGCCTAAGTGGTGGTGTGCTCTATTGCAGATGAAATAAAACAGTGCAGATCCTGCTATCAGGAAGCCAGTGGTAACCTAATGAATGGATGACAACTTAAATACACACACTCAAACAGACACACAAATGTAAAATACTAATAGACTAAAGAGCCCTGGGAGAGTCTGAGTGGGGAAATGTTTTAGGCTGGAGGATCACAGAAACTCTCTCAAACAAAAAGTTACCATCTGACATGCATATATGTTAAGACAAACAATATAAAGTTGTATCATTCACAGAGCCCTGACATGCAGCATTCAGTCAAGAAACATGTACACTCAGGTTGAGAACTGTCACACCCTATTTTGGCAACTAGTCCCAGGATCCTGGAGACTCCCGAAGCCATCATCTCTTTTAAGCAAAAGGCCAACAAATCACAACAATAAAGTCTTCAAGAGTTGGTTGCATGTACAAAGAGAAGATTCTGGAAAATTCTGTAGACATTCAAACATACCAAGTAAATAATCTGTATATGAAGAGAAAAGGTCCACAGTGGCAAACTCTGGAATGTTTGGCAATGCCGTGAAACTAACGTTGTCAGTTCTAGCATTCTTCTTTCCAACCAGGAGGTTGACCGCCAGCACAGCTTCACTGACCTAGAATAAACACATCAGAATTTATAAATTCTGTGTTAGTACAGGCTGTGGCTTGATTGTGCCCCTCTAAGTTCATGTTCTTGGAGTTTGAGCCCCACTGTGTCACCAGGAGGAGGGGGGGACATTGAAAGAGATGATTAGGTCAAGAGAGCATAGCCCTGAAGTGTGGATTGAGAGAGTAGTCACAGGATGAGCTCCTTCTTACAGGAGACTCTGCCTCCCCATTTGATTTCTGCTCCTGCTCTTCCACCTTCTACCAGGCAATTACAGAGCAAGAAGGCCATGACCAGGTGCCAGCCCTTGATCTTGAACCTACCAGTTCAGGAGTAGATTCACATTTAACATGACTTACCCAGAGTGTGCTGTTCTGTTGAAGCAGCACAATACAGACAGAAACAACAAGCATGAAGATGTGAATTCATAAAATAATATTTAATATACATTGGAAAAAATCACCACAGGATAAAAGCATGTGATCCCTGATGTGTGCAATATGAAGCACAATCGAGCCAACTGGTTAGATTTGACAATTCAATTAAAGCATAAGTCACTTTAAATAAGTTACATCACCCAGCTGGGATATGCATTCGCCCAAATGCTGGACAGGTGCACATGTATATCCAACATTTCATTAAGGGAAAATGGAAACAGTTGTGTCTTCTTACTAGAGATTATAAATGCTACACAGGTGTAGAGGCCATTTGTAAAGTTTCTAAACAGACATGGCAGGCAGAAATCCCTCCCAAAGTGTAACTTTTCCTTTCTCTCAAGCAGATCCATCGTACTGCTATGACAGCTGATAGATGGAAGACACAAGTCAACAGTGGAAGACGCAAGACAGCAGAGAGTCAACAGTGGAGGACACAGAGATGACAGCAGGGAGAGTCAACAGTGGAGGATACAGGGAAGACAGCAGGGAGTCAACAGTGGAGGACACAGAGAAGACAGCAGGGAGAGTCAACAGTGGAGGACACAGGGAAGACAGCAGGGAATCAACAGTGGAGGACACAGAGAAGACAACAGAGTCAACAGTGGAGGACACAGAGAAGACAACAGAGTCAACAGTGGAGGACACAGAGAAGACAGCAGGGAGAGTCAACAGTGGAGGACACAGAGAAGACAGCAGAGAGTCAACAATGGAGGACACAGAGATGACAGCAGGGAGAGTCAATAGTGGAGGACACAGAGATGACAGCAGGGAGAGTCAACAGTGGAGGACACAGAGAAGACAGCAGGGAGAGTCAACAGTGGAGGACACAGAGATGACAGCAGGGAGAGTCAACAGTGGAGGACACAGAGATGACAGCAGGGAGAGTCAACAGTGGAGGACACAGGGAAGACAGCAGGGAGAGTCAACAGTGGAGGACACAGAGATGACAGCAGGGAGAGTCAACAGTGGAGGACACAGAGATGACAGCAGGGAGAGTCAACAGTGGAGGACACAGGGAAGACAGCAGAGTCAACAGTGGAGAACACAGGGAAGACAGCAGGGAGAGTCAACAGTGGAGGACACAGAGATGACAGCATGGAGAGTCAACAGTGGAGGACACAGAGATGACAGCAGGGAGAGTCAACAGTGGAGGACACAGGGAAGACAGCAGAGTCAACAGTGGAGGACACAGGGAAGACAGCAGGGAGAGTCAACAGTGGAGGACACAGATGACAGCAGAGAGAGTCAACAGTGGAGGACACAGATGACAGCAGAGAGTCGACAGTGGAGGACACAGAGATGACAGCAGGGAGAGTCAACAGTGGAGGACACAGGGAAGACAGCAGGGAGAGTCAACAGTGGAGGACACAGAGATGACAGCAGGGAGAGTCAACAGTGGAGGACACAGAGATGACAGCAGGGAGAGTCAACAGTGGAGGACACAGGGAAGACAGCAGAGTCAACAGTGGAGAACACAGGGAAGACAGCAGGGAGAGTCAACAGTGGAGGACACAGAGATGACAGCATGGAGAGTCAACAGTGGAGGACACAGAGATGACAGCAGGGAGAGTCAACAGTGGAGGACACAGAGATGACAGCAGGGAGAGTCAACAGTGGAGGACACAGGGAAGACAGCAGAGTCAACAGTGGAGAACACAGGGAAGACAGCAGGGAGAGTCAACAGTGGAGGACACAGAGATGACAGCATGGAGAGTCAACAGTGGAGGACACAGAGATGACAGCAGAGAGAGTCAACAGTGGAAGACACAGATGACAGCAGAGAGTCGACAGTGGAGGACACAGAGATGACAGCAGAGAGAGTCAACAGTGGAGGACACAGAGATGACAGCAGGGAGAGTCAACAGTGGAGGACACAGATGACAGCAGAGAGTCAACAGTGGAGGACACAGAGATGACAGCAGGGAGAGTCAACAGTGGAGGACACAGAGAAGACAGCATGGAGAGTCAACAGTGGAGGACACAGAGATGACAGCAGGGAGAGTCAACAGTAGAGGACACAGAGAAGACAGCAGGGAGAGTCAACAGTGGAGGACACAGAGATGACAGCAGGGAGAGTCAACAGTGGATGACACAGAGATGACAGCAGGGAGAGTCAACAGTGGAGGACACAGAGATGACAGCAGGGAGAGTCAACAGTGGATGACACAGAGATGACAGCAGGGAGAGTCAACAGTGGAGGATACAGAGATGACAGCAGCGAGAGTCAACAGTGGAGGACACAGAGATGACAGCAGGGAGAGTCAACAGTGGAGGACACAGGGAAGACAGCAGGGAGAGTCAACAGTGGAGGACACAGAGATGACAACAGAGAGAGTCAACATGCACACACTGACCTGTGCAGCAGCTCGTATTGCAATCCAGGCCAGTGAGCTGAACATCTCGAATCGAGTTGCTACTGGTTCTTTAATAGAACTGTGCCTTTTGGAAAGAGGCTAAAATAGTACAAAGAAAACATTTTAGGATAAATATATTTCAATATTTCTTGACAAACCTAATCTTTTCCAGATGCCATGTTGGTGGAATAATATGCAGCCATCAAGAAGTATAATATATTACTGCCATAAAAATGTTTAAAATAAATCAAAAGGAAAAACAGGTTAAAAATTTGTATATAAGTATGATTCTACTTTTTAAAAATGAGCATACACTACTCTATATATAAACACAAATTATACCAAGTCTTCAAAAGAATTTTTCCTAATTTTCTATAATGAGTTTATGTGATTTATGTAATAATTTAATAAAATATCTTTTTATTGATGTCAAAATCAATTTAATAGAGGTTATTTACCATGAATGCATTGTGGGCAAAGACACCAGGAGTGAGGATATTCGCATTTGTTCTGTTTCTCTGTTGTTTTGACATGGGTCTCAAAACTCTGCAGGTTCCAAACTCAAGATTCTCTGGCCTCAACCTCCTGAGTGACTCAGTGGGTTTTGATATTATGTTACTATTATGAAAAATGCTAATGGGATTTCATAACTCCATAGAATAGTAGAACAGAAACCACAAAGGACAGTTTTTACTGTCACATATATATTCATATACATTCAGTTTTTAAACTTAAGAAGTTTAAGGCTACAAAAAACAAATACAGCAAATACAGTAACTTATACTTTTAATGATAACTGAAGTAAATTAATTTTAAGTCAGTTTTTAAAAATTTAACTAATTAGACCAAGTATGGTGGCACAGGCCTTTAATCCCTGTGGAGACAGAGGCATATGGATCTCTAAATTCAAGCCTACCCTGGTCTACAGAGTGAGTTTCAGGACAGCCAGGGCTACAAGAGAAAAAAATCAAAGAAAAATTAAGTAATTAGACCCCTATGTTTTAATCTTTTGATATGCATTTTAGCTATTTTTTTTTATTCTTCAAGAAAACTGTAGAATTAGACATGTAGTGACTCGAAGCATGTCAATTATTTACTTCTGTCTAGAACACTTCCGCAAGTCTGGAAGGAAGAGTGACAGCCATGAATTGAAGAATCCAGAGTAAGGTGAAAGCAATTAGTAACACAGACTCCGGGAAACGTAGCCACTTTTAATTGAAGCTTTTGATTACTGAGGAGGCTGGACCTGGGCTAAAATAGACTTTAAAAAATTGCCAGAGACTGATCAAGACCCCCTGAATCTGGGTGTCAGTGAGGAGGCCTAGGTAATCTATTGAGCCTTGGCAGCAGATCAGTACCCATCCCAAGTATACACACGGACTCTGGACTCCCATAGAACAATGTGAGGTGCACTCTCACCCTGAACTCTTGGGGAAGGGTCTAGGCCCTGCCCTATATGAAATGACAGACTATGGACACCCCCATGGAGGGCCTCACCCTGGGGGAATGAGGGGATAACGGGGGGGGGATGGGGGGAGGGCACGGGAGGAGGGGAGGGAAAGGGAGAGGGACCTCGAACTGACTTGTGAAGCAACCTTGTTTCTTATCTAAATTTAAAATGGAAAATAAAAAAAAATAATAATAATTAAAAAAAAGAAAAAAAAATTGCCAGAGAAAGAACATGATGGGTTTTCTATTTTAGATAGGGTAGTATCAACATTGCACAGTCCATGTGACCAGAGAAAAAAACAAAGGGAAAACTTAGAAATGATTGGAAATGAAGACATAAAAACATATTTACTTGTAAGAGATGTGATCCTGTATACAGAAAATCCTAGGAGAAACACACACACACACACACACACACACACACACACTATTAAAATCAACAAGCATGGTCAGTGAGGGCATGAGATATAAAATTCAACAATATGTGCAAATCAATGACATTTCTACAAGTAAATTCTATAATATATGTCCCTGAAGCCTTAATATTGTTAAGATAAACTATCACCAGACTGTACTGCAGCTTCAGCAGAATTCTTCAAATATCCAATTCACTTTTCCTTTTGTAAATTGGGAAGCAAACTGGAAAACATGTGTGAAGATGTGAAGGTCTCCAAGTATGAAAAGAATTTTGAAGATGAATCATGGTGTTGGAGGATATGCGCTCTGAAACCTGAGACCTTACGAAAATCTATAGCAACAGAGAGTGAAACACCCATAAAGGGGACTCAAAGATCAATGGATTTTTAAAGATCTTAGCATGCCACTCAAAACACAGCTTCTAAAACAGAAAGAACTCATCCTGAACTTTATAAAAATTAAAACTTCTTTGTCTCTAAACACCACAAGCTACTAGCTGGAAGGGAATATTTGCCAATCGTACATCCAGTAAGAGATCTATGTCTAGAATATGTACAGATGAAAAAAGCTGTCACAACTGATTTTCTCTTTGAACTGTTTTCCCTCATTTAACTGCCTTCTTCTAAACTTTCTCATCTGTGAGGACTTCTACAGTATTCCCACGAAAGGAAATTAGTTTGTCTGGCGTCTCCACCTTGCCATATTGTGTTTGCAATACTCAACAAGGTACCATTCAATTGTGTCTTTCCCTTGCTAGACTCTGGGCTCTATAGGAAAAGTAAAAGAACATGCCTGGTACCACATAAAGCCCTTCAAAAATATTTGGATAAAGAATGAATAAATACATGCACATAAATGGTTAGTTCGATTTAACTAATTATTGGGTAATCCACTACATATAAAATACTTAATGAAGAACATAGATGCTGAGTCGAAGCTATGTAAAGTTAATGGTGCCTAATACATCATGCTAAATACTTTGTTTATGCTCCTAGCCACAGTAACAGAGGTGAGGAAGCAAGGCTTCCAAAGTCACTCTGGTGCATCAGGATGAGATCCAAGCTTAAGGCTGTGCTGCTTCCACTGGCAGAAGTGAAGCAATACTACTGTTTTTGTTGTTGTTCTACATTTTATTTACTGATTTTGGGGGCACATGTATGCCAGGGTGCACATGTGGAGGTCACAGGACAACTTGCTCTAGTCGGCTCTCTCCTTCGACCAGGAGCATCACAGGAATCAGGCTTGGTGGCAAGTGCTTTTACCAAACGACCCAGCTCAGTGGCCCCGCTCCTACGGGTTGTTTTAAGAGCTTTTGTGTTGTTTCTATTAAGACAAATTTCAAATGTTACATTTCCACAGCCCAAATATGTCTGGATGAATGTTTTTATTTATTTTGTGCTTTTTTTCTGTGCCTCTAGTAATTTTATAACTTGTTAAAATATTTGCTATGTCAAGATATACAGATTGTATGGAATTATAGTCCTTTTTCCCTTGAAATCCTATCTCACACTCATAATTACAAGTGCGTCTCTCAGACATGTCCAGAAAGTGATGTTACCCATGCCTTTCCACTTCTTTGCAGCACTCTTCTCTATGGAAATCACACACTTGTTTTCCTCTAACCAGTAATAAGCATTTTTATCTTACCACTAGAGCAACCTTTCCCAGCTTGTAGTCATTTTGATTTTTTAAATGGTCATACCCACCTAAGGCAGCTAGCATACAAATAATCTGATTGATCAAATATATTTTCCTAAAGTTTTATGTTATGTTTATGGCATGTAAAAAATAGAGATTTGAAACTGTTGTAGTATTGGATGCCTGTAATCCCAGCATTTGGGAGGCAGAGGCTGGTGGATCTCTGTGAGTTCTACATGGAGAGGTTCGGACATCCAGGGCTATACAGAGAGATCTTATCTGAAAACGAACAAACAAACAAACAAAAATTTGAAAAATATCTTGGGAGAGGGAGGTTGCAAGGGCAGCGAATGGATTCAGAGATGAGTAGAATTGAGATGCATGTGAAATCCACAAAGAATCAATAAAAAATTTTAAAACATGAAGAGATTTGATCCCAATGTTTTCTGAAAAGATCTCCTCACAGAATCAATGGTCATTATTTGGTAAGGATAAAATATGAACATTTATCACAATCCAACAATAGTCATGTCATGGAAACCAACCTGGCATACTTCTTCCATTAGGGTCTTCCTCAGGCCAGATGCTGGGTATGGCAGTGCACCCCTGCACATGAGCAAAACCTGGGAGTCCGTTGGAAACCCCAAACTTCAAACCCACTCCCTTCGGCAAGCTTTGGGGGGATGTTTCTGCACCTTAGTTTTCAGGCACTGAGGTGGGTGGTGCAGCCTTCTTGGCTCTGCACAGTTCTCACCGTGTCCAACACCTCCCACTGTGACATCACACCAACGTGCCTCCTTCATTTACCATCATGACATTGGGCAAGGTACCTCCTTCACTTACCAGTTGACATCACATCATACAACCACCTTCATTTACCATCTCAACAACCCAAATCATTTCCTCACCCTAAGTTCACTATCAAGGGCCCTTCTCTTCCCCCTTCTCCCTTGTTCCCTTCTGATTTTCCATGTCTGCTGCCATACAGTCCTGCCTCCCTCCACCAGCTGGATGGCAAGAGGGACTGTGATCCTCTCAGCACAGACTCATCACCTCTGTCAAAGTACATCTGTGAGATATGAATGATACTGACAGGGCATTATTAGTTTCAAAAATACAATGTGTCCATTCCTATATTCTCCTCTACATTCCTAACCATTCATTGCCTTTGAATATTTACATAACTAGGATTCTGTGTACATCATTTTAACAAGGAGAGACACTGAAACGAAATCAATTTCCAGAGTTCTACCTAAAATCTCCAAAGAGGCACCTGACTTACAAGTGTGACTACAAAGCAATGAGTTAATGTCTTCAAGTCACATAGGAAAATGCCTCATTATTTCAGTCCCACAGAATTACTGAAAACAATCAAAGGCTTCTAATTCCTCTAAAAGCAGCTGTTACCTTGAGTGATGACGGTGTTCCTGAAACTTTTCTCTTTGGCTTCTTCAGATAGAAATACATAAGGGCAATTTCTAGGTAGGAATCTCGTATCAATCTAAAATGATAAGACATTAAATTTAGCTTCACCTTTCTCTTGTACAATCTCTTTGTACTTTTCGCCAACAATGTCTGGGAGAGTAAACAGTAATAATAGGCAAACAAGTGTTCTTCCCTAACCTATGCATCTTTAGGCCGCAGCTAGTAGGAGCTTCATTGGAAATGAGAAGCTCTTGAGAAAGCACAACATTCTACTTAGTCTTGCACTAGCAACAACCCGGGCTATGACTGCTACAAAGCTTAACAAAGACCTTTCTGGGATATTCCAGTGAAGTAGTCACTAAAAATTCATTGCAAAAGAAGCCATGCTTGAAAACCAGGCCTCTGTCTACTCTCCTATGCTAATTAAAATAGAACTAGAGAACTCCACAGACAGCAGTAATAGTCACATTTATATATGTTCTACCAAAGGTATCAGTTAACATCTCTTGGATCAGTGCTGGTGTCTAACAGTGGCTTCCCATCAATATTGAAGTCATTTCTGTGCAGAATAAGTAGACTAATGGTATAGATGGCTACAGAAACTGTGTAAATAAATCCTTCTCAACTCATTAATATCCATGGTAGGTTCTTCTAGTTGTAAGCCAGTTGTCCACAGGAAGTCCCCCACAGTCTTGATATTGACAGGAGACCTAGGTCTAGGTGAGAGCCACTTTGTAGCCTAGAATGCCACTATGATAAATGGGAAGCATCCCACCTTTTCCTGTAAAGGAGGCCTTAGGTCCGAGCCAAAAGCAATAAGCTTGGGAAGCAGGTCAGTAAACATGCTGCTGTCTGAACAACCCCAGTGTATGAGCCTCTGCCATGACAAGGTTTCTCTTTCTTCCTTTCCTTGAATCTTCTGTGTACTATCAACCAGAACTCAGACCACACAGGAGTAGTTCTACAAGAATGAATGGTTTGCCATTACCCTGAGTTCTGATCATTTCTCAGGCTTATTTGAATAGCATCGAAAAAACTCTCTACTTCTGAAATTGGAGATTTGTCTTCTTTCAGCATTTGACGCTCTATTCTGCCTGCAAGAAGAAAAGACACACACAAAGATGGTTTTCCATTTTTTATAATTTATAACAGAAGAGCAAATGCTTCACTCTGCTAACTCTGGAAGATGGACTGTTGTCCTCCTCTTGTCTTTCTGACATTTCTTGGTGAAGGATATGCTGGGATAAAACAATTAAAGCTTCCTTCCCCAGAAATGTCTGGAATGCTTTCAATAAAGACACCTTTAGCTTCCCAATACCACTGGCCTTTATACTTTACTTTCTCTATTATTTTACTTTGTGATTCCTGTCCTCTAATATCTCTTGCTCTTGTCTATTTCACAAATACCAAAACCAAGGGGCTCAGCTCTATCTTTATATTCATTGCAGCAGTATCCATACGTACAAACACAGAATAAGCATGAGTGCTCTTTGCGGCTAAATAGGTTTTTCAAAATGTGACACACAGACACACACACACACACACACACACACACACACACACACACACACTGGTTGTGAGCCTAGGCTTGAATGACTGAGCTATCTCTTCAGCCTAGTTTTTAAGTCTTAAAGATAAACTTAACAAAAGCCAGGCAATAGTGGCGTATACCTTTAATCTCAGCATTCATGGAGGCAGAGGCAAGTAATCCCTGATTTCGAGGCCAGCCTGGTCTACAGAATGAGTTCCAGGACAACCAGAGCTACATATAGAAACCATGTCTCAGAAAATCAAAAAATAAAACACAATAAACTTAATGAAAGCTGAATCCTTAGGAAAAAAAAAGCAAATGCTTAAGATGATGCCAATGCCCACCCAGCACTTGACTCCCAGCAACCATGGCAACCATGGTGGATACCATTCTTCAAGCCCAAGAACTGAGAGAGCTGTCCTACAGGAGAAATACCAGGAAAGCAACTCTTACAGTCACCATGAGTAAGATCCACAGTTTTTGTGTCGCAGGAGTGAAAGGGGGAGGGGGTGGGGGGTGGCAGACCTCCCATCTAGGCATGCTCATTCATGCTCATTTAATAGCTGCTGGTGTGAGAGATGTTAACTGTCATGTGACATGTCTAGTTCAGTAAATGATAGCAATCGTTACACTTTGACTTTCCTGCAGAAAAATGGCCACAGTGGAATCATATGAATGCATTGTCCATAAATTCTAAAGACAGGTATTCTACAGTTATTAAATTTTAATGTAATGCTGTCTCCTACTTATAGAAATTAATCAAAATATCTAACTAGGCAATAAAATAATGTAAAACACTATCTCATTATCATTTAATAAATAATTTTTAATTAATAATTACAGTTTGTTTCATTATTATTTAGCAAGTGTTTTAAAACATTTATTTTTTATGTTTTTGATATTTTCTTTTATGTGTACAGATGGTTTTACTGAATGTATACCTATGTATCATGAGTATGCCTGGTACTTGAGAAGGCAAAAAGAGGGCATTAGATTCCCTGAAATTGAAGTTGCAGCCACATGCATGCTGGGAAATGAACTTGGGTCTCCATTGCAAGTCAGTGATCTGAACTACTGAGTCATCTCTCTGACCCTAATTTTTTATTTTTAAATTATGTGTATATGTGTGTCTGTGTGGGTATATGCCAGCCTGAGTGAAGGCACCCACAAAGGCAGGAAGAGTTTGTTAGATCCCATGGGGCTGGAGTTACAGGTGATAACCCCTAACATGGGTACTGGGCACTAGACTCATGTCCCCTGCAAAAGCATTACATGCTTCTAACTGCTGAGCCATCTCTCCAGCCATACGATTTGTGATGTTGACATTAAACCTTACATGAGGAATCAATTAGTAGTAACTTTTTTCTAGGTATACCTTAATGGGAGGCTTTCATCAGAAACAGAGACTTACAGAGAGGAGCGGTGTGCCTTGTAGTTGGCAAGCTCATTGTAAAGTCTGGGACTTACAGTCAAGAAATTGATCATTAATAACTCCAGGGATCCGCATGCTTCATCACAGTTCTGATGCCAAGTACAACTCACCTTTCTGAAACAGAATTTCTGCTTCCACCTCATACTCCTCCGCTGCTGACACCTTGCAGAGCTTCAAGGCCATCTCAAAGATGTGAAGGGCAGGCAGCCACTTAATGATGTCCTTCTTCTTGCTTTGGGAATATACCTGCTTGGACAATGTGTGTCCTAAAAGCAGAACAGTGGAGGCAAAACAATGAAGTCTTCAGTGTTTGGAACAAGCTAAGAAGACAAGGACTTCTCACTGCAATGCTGTGACTCTTCACAGTTCTTGCAGCCAAGAATGTTTTAGACAGCCACATATCCATGTCAGGAAACTACAACAATAGTTTGAGCTTTGGTAAATCTCCAATCAGTTGCCTTATTTTTTAAATCAACAATGGCCTCCAAGTGTCTCCAGTTCTCAACTTTTCACGGTGCTTATAGAACAACCTCCATGGTCTTTCTTTGTTTCAAAAAAGATTTTTAATATTTATTTATTTATTTTACATCCAGACCACAGTTTCCTCTCCCTCCTCTCCTCCCATTCCTTCCCCTGCCACCTCCCCTCTGCATGCCCCCATCCTCTCCTCCTTCATTTCTATTCAGAAAAGGGCAGGCCTCCATGGTATCAACAAAACATGGTATATTAAGTTGCAGTAAGACTAAGAACCTCCCTCTTTATTAAGTAAGCCTGGGCAAGGCAACCCAGTGTGAGGAATAGGGTTCCAGAAGCCAGAAGTCAGAGATAGCCCCAGGTTTTTTAAGAAGAGGCTATTAGCAGAGACACATCTGGAAGTTGTATATTGTTCACTATTAATAAATTTACATATACTAATAGGCAATAATTTTCTTCCTATTGAATCCACTTATTAGTCATTATGTAACCTTCTGTCATCATAACTGAATAAGAAAGCTCTTAAGGGTTACATGCCACACTCCTTAGGAGTCCTCATCTTTAATAACTGCATGGAAGGATTGTTGAATGGCAGAAACACTGTTCTATATGTCATCAAAGACTGACATTTATCAAAAAGTATTTCCTACATGTTGAAGTACTAATATAAATGAGAAAGGAAGAGCACTAAGAGGTAAGACTTGTTAGATATTTCCCACATGTCAGGCACCGTCTCATGAGCTCCACACCGATTGTACGTGTGACTCACAACTCTGAGCAAGTAGCATTATTATGCTCATATGACAGAAGACAAAGCAATGCCTCAAAGCTATAAGTAACTTGCCCAGGTCACATGGCCATGATTTGAACCTAAAGCAGCCTGGCCCCATGGCCCACACCCTAAACCACAACACAGTATCCTAGTAACCTAATCCTAATAATTAACCAAGAATATAAACAGCAAGACAAGCAGTTAAAACAGCATGAGGCTGGTCACAGGGAAAGAAACCTTAGGGCACTGTAGGACTAGAGTAGAGATCTGGTCTCTCCAGATCTTGGAAAGGCCCCAAGAAGCTACCCAGACAGCATGGTTGTCTATCGGGTCAGTGGGCACACATCTTTCCATAAACATAACCTTAAAACATGCTGTTTACTAACAGAGGTTATCACAAAGGCTAAAAGGAGTAAGTAACCAAATTCCTGTGATGCAATCTATACCACAGGAGAGGCTGCTGAGAAAGCAGGCTACAAGAGCTTCATAATATTGAAATGTTCCTTCCCCCAGTAAACACCAACTCAAAAAAAAACTGTTGTGAAACTGACATTGTTTTGACAGAAAGGCTGCTTGTGGTTTTGTTTTTAAAGGCTGTATTTAATATAATATAGCAGAAAGCAAGCTGTTCAGCTTCAAATATGTCTACCAAGAAGCAACAGTACTGTCAGTGAGTGGTGACAGACCTTCAAGATGAGTAAGTCAGAAAAGCCGAGAGTAGATTTGATTTTACACAATCTGTGCTTTGAGTGCATGCAGAATTCAAATGTCCTAATAATACAGCAAACTGTGGGATGAAAGTATAGGGGAGAAATGGATTGACTGTGGTCACTGACTGAGCTGCAAGACATCTGAAGGGCCAGCTAGCTGTGCTAATGAGGTCAGCGAGGACACTTGCAAGGTAGAGTGATGTATGTAGTGACATTTGCGTGCCAGGGACGATGGTGAGTGTAGCATGAGTAATAAAAAACCCAGAGACCAATATCGGGGTTAAAGCTGAAGATCAGAGAAGCAGAGCAGCCAGCCACTAGAGTTCTCACCTCTTCCAATGCTCAGACCAAAGGGGCGATCCACCGAACCTCAGACTGCACTGCTCTTCACCAAACCTCAGAATGCAATCAGCTCCTGTCTTCTCCCACCTTATATTCCTCTCCAGTGTTGGGATTAAAGGCATGAAGTCACCTTCGTGTGAGCTGTTTCTCTTGAGTGCAAAGTTCACCACACCAGCTAGCCATAAAGGCCAGGTAGTGGTAGCACAAACCTTTAATCCCAGCACTCAGGAGACAGAGGCAGATGGATTGATCTCTGTTAATTCAAGGTTGCCAGGGCTACAAAGAATTGATCCAGTCTAAGAGAAACAAAGCTCATACAAAGGTGACCCCAGCACTTGGGATCACACACCTTTAATTACAGTATTAGAGAGGAATATAAGGCAGGAGACAGCGCTCAGTACATTCTGAGGTTTGGTGAAGACCAGTGCAGTCTGAGATTCGGTGGATCCCCTTCAATCTGGGCACTGGTAGAGGTGAGAACTCTCTAGTAGCTGACCACTTTGCTTCTCTGATCTTCAGGCAAGCTTTGTTTTTTGTATCATAAATGAAGCATCACCACAACAGAGATAAGGGGGAAATTCAGAAAAGATGGTACCTTGAGTATATGTTTGCTGGCCTCCCTTTGCCAGTCCAGTCCTAGTACTGATTCTCTTGGCTGAGAAGCTTCTGGTAGAGGAGGCAGGAGGGTCCTAGAAGGTGATAGATTAAAGCAGAAAGAGCTGCCAACAACTTTCTGCTCTTTGGGCAAATAAGACCATGAGAAACAGGCAGGAAGGAGTATGTCAAAGGTCAGAGATGGTACCCTAAAGAGAGTCTAAAAGGAGTTCCAGAGAAGGGTAGCTGTGGCTGGCTGCCCCCTAGATTTCCCAAGAGGGATATGACGAAGGCATGAATTCTCTACTATGGAGCTCAAAAATGCTGGCTGACTTTTGTTATTTCCCTTGGAGACTCAAGGGGAAATTGAGACTCTTCAAAGTTGCTACAGAGCCAAGCCACACAGGCAGAACGTGCCCCTCTGACCACCACTGGCACAGTGGCACCACTAGACCTGAAGAACAATAAGCAGACAAAGAAGAATAGCCTGGGAAAAAGCCAGGTGGTGGTGGCACACGCCTTTAATCCCAGCACTCAGGAGGCAGAGGCAGGCGGATCTCTGTGAGTTCGAGGCCAGCCTGGTCTACACAGCAAGTGCCAGGACAGCCTCCAAAACAATACAGAGAAACCCTTTCTCAAAAAACCAAAAAGAAAAAAGAATAGCCCAAGAAAGAAGAGCCAGCAGCCATAAAGAGGAATATCAAATGTGGCTTCTAGAAGAGAATGCATGAGTGAGATAAAATAGTTTGAGGATAGAGCGACACAATTACATACATACATACATACATATACACACATACACATATGAGTCTACAGAGAAACACAAGTTATCACTAATTTTGAGAGGTCAATGGCAAAAATATTATCAAGAAGATCAGTTAGATTATGCTTACATCCTAAATTATGAAAATGATAGAATTATAAGAGAAAGATGACAGATTTTCCAGACAAAGTCAAGTATTACCCCTACCTATAGTGCTTACTATGGCCCCGGCACTGAGCCAGGCATTTTTCTCATTTAATCTTCTGTGAGGGGAATGGCATGACTATTCCCTGGGTGTTTGTGTTCATATATTGAAAACCCTTCCCAACAATGATGGTGTCTACATGGAAAGATCAAGACCTTGCTTAGTGATTATGAAAGCTAAGCCCTCATGAACGGGCTAAGTGAGCTACATACGAGCCTGGAGGAGTCAGTTTACCCCTCCCATCACATAAGGACCAGTTGAGGCCCCAGCTGTGATGCAGATGTGCACTCACCGGACATTAAATCTTGACTTTGGTCTTCGACTCTTCAGAAGACTTGAGAGCAATAAATTTCTACTATCTGCAAACTATCTAGTTTAGGGTAACTTAGGGCAAATAGGTTACAATGGCCTTGGTTCTGAAATCAGAGCACTACAAAGAAACTAAATGACCCTCGAGATGTTCACATAGGTATTCAGCCCCAAAGAAGAACAGAGGAAGTGAGTGGACAATAATTAAGCAAGAAGAAACCTTCCCCAGAGAGAAAGAAACTTGTCTGCAGATACCAAGGGCTCAATGAATTCCTTGGAAGAGAAAGAGGAAGCATGGACCCAAACATGTTGGTGAATTTCTTGAACTACAGAGACAAAATAAATCTAACAAGATTTGGGGAAGGAAGGACAGGTTTCTTGTCAAAAGAAAATAAAAGACTAACACAATAGTTCTTATTTGAAACACTGAGAGTAGGAATAATGGAATAGCATCTACAAAACTCCAGAAAAAAGATCACACCCCAAAATGCTTATGCTGGACTGATATAGTATATCAGTCACCTGTCATGGTGAAGAAAATGTATTTGTGAAAACCCATGCTCCAGAGAGCATCAACTGGGCTGGTTTTAGCTGGGGAAAGCATGGGCTGGGGGTGGGGTAAGAAGGAGTGGGGATTGGGAGATTCAATTAACAACCACACAACACAACAGAGTGCTGGGAAACAAGAGACAAATGAAAAGACTGGTAAGGTACCAGTATTTTCTTTCTTTCTTCCTCCCTTCCTTTTTTTTTCCAAGACAAAGTTTCTCTGTGTAACTACCCTATGGAACGTCCTGGAACTTGCTCTGTAGATCAGGATTGCCTCAAACTCAGAGATCTACCTGTCTCCGACTCCTGAGTGCTGAGATTAAAGGCGTGTGCCAACACTGCCTGGTGGTACCAGTATTTTCTCAGTGGTAAGAGGTCTATTATCAGATGTTATGAGTTACAAATATAATGTCTCTAAGACAAACAAGAAAAAAATAGTTTAAAGAAAAAATCACCGTTATCTAGCCTGGACCATATCACAGGAAGCCTTTTATGCCACAATAAGTAGAGAACATTAATATAAGGGATGACCTATGGAAATAGAAGACTTCATGGTGATCAAGAAACCAGAGAAAGAGAAGGAAAGCTAGGAGGACAAAGGGCCTGGAGATCTATAAGTTGAGGGAACTAAGTGCCAAATAGGTATGGGTGATATAGACATTACCAGGTACTGGGTGGTCCATACAGGCAAGATTGGAAAAGAGCACTTTGGAGTTGTAATTGGGCCTTGGTCAATCAACAGAAATTTCTCTCATCTAAATCTAGAGTTACTGGGAATCTAAGGAAGAACAGAGGGAGTGGAATCAGTCTATCCCATAAGAGCCCAGGTGTCCAGAATCAGAAGAGATAAGGTGCTTAAGGATAGGTGATTGTTTTCTTTTATGTGTCTGTCTGTTTGGGTTCTTATGATTAGTATTTAAACATATTAACATACTGACGCTCAAAAGGAGAAAGTGATTCCTACAATCAGATTGTAGATGGTCTAGAAGGGAAAGCAGCAGGCTCTGAAGCCAGGGACTTGGGAGGCAGACCACCACCTGTGAGCCAGAGGAAGGCCAAGAGGCTGGGACTGGGGAAAGGACAAGATTCTCTCCCAGGACAGGAGTCACAACAGGACAACTGAATTAGTAGCCAGGCTGGTTGGAGAGGTTTCCCAATGGGCGGAGCCTGCAGAGAGCAGTAAGACCTGTACACCATTCTTTACACTTTCAAAAACAACCACAGCTCTTGACATCCAAAGTGTTCTAACAGAAGAGCCCCTGCTTAGCATGCATCATGGGAAGACATGGAAACAACCTTGATTAATAAAAATACAAAGACTCTGATAATCCCCACATTTACAGGACACAGATTTGTTGCTTAAAATGATACAAGTTATTAGAGCTTCGGGAAAAAGTATGCCATTATCATCAACACATTAAGATAATGTTTTTTCATGAGCATTGTTTTTAGGGATACGCGTACTTAACAGCATCATTGATAACCAGAAGACATAATACACTGCTCTATACACCTCTCAAAAATCTTTCTCAGTTTGACATAAATTTAAAATAACTACTTGTAATTTAGAGAGCAAATAAGTGGTGTATTATTAGGAATACACTCATACTTTGTGTTTCTATGATATTTTTCAATAAAGTATACTGTGAAAATAATCTTGTTGCAAAGATTGAACAGCTGGAAAAAACGCAATAGTCCAAAGCAAATAGTTTCACATATTATAACTATTGTAACCAGAACTTGATTTTTACATGAAGTTCGTCCTTATACCAAAGAGTCTAGCACATGGTAAGTAACCAAAACCTATTTAGGCACACAGAGTCTGGGCGTTCGTAAGACTGACCCTTAAAGTCATGACAGCCTACTTAAAAAGCAATTAAAAACATCTATGGCACTCAAGGAAGCTGGGAGTTTAAATTTTCTTACCAATTCTCAGTTTTATTTTTGCTAGTAACATGACATGAGGAAGGTAGATGTTTTTCAAAGGATGTAGAGGATTCGCATAGTCAGCATCTGATAGAGGGAATTCGATTGTCTCTCCAAAAGTTAGCATCTAGGAGAGAAACCATGGAGTTGGTGTCACTGCTGGGAGAAGAAAAACGGCAGGAAAGTCCATTCCCAAGTTTGTACCCGTGTAAGGCATTGCTACCTGTGTAATAAGGATGTTGTGGGCTTGATTCAAGAAAATTAATTTGTCCTCTTTTGAAGATGCTTGCTTGAATTTCTCAGCTTTCGTTAAGTCATCCATTAGGGCGAGGCTTCTCACCAGGGTTAACCAAGATCGAGGAGAAAGGAACTCATTTCCCTCCAGCAAATGGATTATTTCCTGTTGAGAGAAAACAATTGTTTGTGTTTTCCAGTTCATTGTTGAGCTATGGCCATGGCGCCAGATGCACATCCACTAGGGTCAAGAATCCATCATTTTGATCCAACTGGGATTTTTCCCTAAACACATGTATGGGCACTGCACTGTCTCCTTTACCTGGAGGTTTCTTATGATGTCTGCCTTTAAGTGCTTTTCCTGAAGACCCAGGATCACAGCTTGCATCAGGACCTCGGCCAGGATCTCCGTGTCATCTGCACCCTTGACCTCCATGCGCACTTCATTGATGAGGCTCAGGCAGTCTGTCATGTCATTCTCTGGTGCACGAGAAAGCAAGAAGGATTTGTGTAGAATGTACCCGATGATCAAAGAGCAAGAGGACATTAAAATGGAAAAGGAATGGATCACATGAAATACGGAGCAGGGAAGTGTTATAATTTGGGTCAAAGCATTTTAGTTTAATCCAATGCTATAGAAGTCATGTTGTTACATGAAATGATTCAATTTGGGAGATAGATAGAGACATGAAAACAGGCAGGTATACAACTGGACATTTATCAGTTACTGTGGGAGCTGCTGTTTATATATGCCAAGCTGTTATCTAAGACTATAACTGCTATCCCCTTCAGTCTGGCAATAAGTTCAATAAGATGAAGGTAAGTTGCCTCCATCTTCCGAGAGGAAAAGGAAATTCAGAGCCATAGGAGAATGGGTGGAGGAAGACTTGGCAAGGAAGGGCCGGATTCCCATTGGAACTCATGTTGATAGCTTGTCAGCTCTATGCTTAGACAACTTCCCGAGACCTGAGCAAAAGTATTTTTGCAATCTCCTTGTATTTTTTAATTAAATCAGTAATATATGTGCCACTTGCTCTGGTACAGAGGACTGTGAATGGTCACTATTTTTGCTTAAGTACCTGTATCTTAAATTCTGGGAAGAGAGCAAGCTAGAAGGTTGTGAACATTATCAAAGACATACCCCCGATAAAAGCCTGTCCCCTCATGTCAAATTAACCATACTGAAAACATCAGTTAAGAAAGTACCTTTCATGATTCCAATACCACGAATCTGTGCAACGAACGCAGTCACAAGCATCAAGCGGCACCTCAGCCAAAGGTGAATGTTGAAATATTCCCTGGCATTCAGGGAAATGGGGTCTAAAAACTCACTGTCATCTTTACTCTCTGTGGTCTAAACAATGTTAAAATGATGAGGTTAGCTTCCCATTGGATAATGCCAGCATTCTACCTTAGACTAAACATGAGCTGAGAGAAGCACCCAGTAGCATTTCACAGCATCACATTTTAAATTAAGAAGTTATTCTTCAACATTCTAGGAAACCTAAGATATATGCAAAAGAAACAAGTAAAATCACCCTCAATTCCACAACCCTCTATTAACACTCTGACCTGTTTTTTCTCTTTACACCACTACTCAAAAACAGTTTTGCGTAGAACTAGAGATCGCTCAGAGGTTAGGAATACTTCTACTCTAGCAGAAGACCTGGTTGGTTCCCAGAATCTACATGGCAGTTCACTGTCACTGATAACTTCAGCTTCAGCAGAATCCTATGATGTCACCTGCCCTGTACTGACACTGCACACACACCCAGTGCACTTATATATGCAAACAAAACACTCATAACATAAACTAAAAGTTTTAATTAATAAAACAGTTTTGCATTGGATTTCTTTATATTATCAGCATTTTCTATGTCATCAAAAGCCTTTCTTTAAGGGATGGAAAATGGTAAATACAGCTCTGGGAATCTATTTTGGACTATTAGTTCACTGGGTATGAGAGATTTCATCAGAAATGCATAAAATCACAAGCAAGATTCTGTGTGATGAATATTTTTATGCAGACTCCTAAGTGATTTTATGTTGTTAGTCCGTCTCACTCAGTCCAGTAACACAGCTCATGACCAGCTGTCAAGCAGACGTTAGACCCTGTATATGGAGAAGGCTAAATGCGGGAAACTCCAGATGGGAAAGAGTGTGAGCATCCTTCCTGCCATGTCCAGGTAATAAAAACAAGAGTGGAAGAAGAGTGGGTCTTGGGAAACCACTCTGCTAGTGGGGCCATATCAAGACTATTACACATCTGAATGGGCTCTTGGTGATGATTGTGTCTACCCTCAACAGCTCCCAAATGAGCTCACAAAACGTTTGAGAAGAATGTGAAGGTCCTTCCTCAATAAGGAGCACAGAAGGACTTCAACACGGGCCCCGACCGACCTCACTGTCACTCCACCTTTACCACCTTGCTTCACCCAGAAGCCCATCGGCTTCCCACGGTAAATGTGTGGTGCAATGCGTACCGCAAGGATGTTACATGCATACGTACAGAAGTTCCCGGAGAGGTGGGACTGTCTGAGTCATCCGGCGTTCTCTTTTTAAAAATTTTCGAATCCTGGAGAAGCTTGAGTGTGGAATACACTATAGCAGCCCTGAAACCGAGGGAAGGTTTTAACTGTTACTAGTGACAGCATTTGCATATGGTTTTGTAAGCCTCTGCTTCCTATGAAAACTTTGACACCCCCAACCACCCTCAAGATGTTACTAGGTGTCTCCTTCATATGTTCCAATACCACTATAGTCCCCTCCTTTACTCATAACACCATTTAAACACAGCATAGAGTTTTAAACCCACATTCTAGTACAGTCACTGAGGCACAATAAAAACTATAAAGTCCTTTTCAATAAAAAATAAGTGGATCAAAGAATAAATGGATGTTTCCATGATCTAAAACAGATTGAAGGCAACCGCCCCACTTCTGCCCCCTGTGGTTAAATTTATTCCACTCCAAGTCTTCAGTCATCACCATTGCTCTCACTCTTCAATGGACACTATTCAATTTATCAAGTTCTGTCAGTGTGACCCACAAGAGCCCTCTAAGACCTCCTCACTCCTCCACCCCATTGACCAGCCATTGCTACCTCCAGGATGGAGGACCAAGATGGGTAAGAGTTCATGGCCTACTCTTGCTCTCACCCACAACACCTACAGCAAACTCCTCAAGATGCGACTGAAACGGCTTAGACCAGAGACCTCCCTGGACTCTGATGTCAGATGCCACACTAGGGTGAATTCAGTCATTCACTATGCCCCATCCCCACGCATATACTATGAGTTCAAATGCTATTACTGATGCAGTTTATGAGACAGAAAACGGATACATGGAACTCTCAAGAGGGGTCGGGGTGGGGATCCAGACAACAGGTTCCAGAACTTCAGCTCTCTCACACCCTTCCTCCCTCCCTTCTTGTTTCACGCTCCATCTCTCCTTGTTCTAACCAGTTTGATATCAGTGGTCATGCCACAGTCTTATTTGTGAATGTTACTGTCGGTGCCAGGGCTGACTGCACTTGTCATCAACATCAGATTCCAAGCCTTTTCTCTCGCTTTCTAGCCAACATATTAATATGACACACCTCGAGTGTTTTCCTTTACCTTTGGTCATCTGACTTGTAAAAATGCTGGCCTTTTTTTGCTGTGTGGGTCACCTTATAGTCTTGTACTTGTTTATTTGAGTAACATTTCAGTTCTCCTAAGAGAACAGTCAACCATTTCCATCCTCATGGGACATGGAGACTTCCCTTCTCTGTTCTCTGTGAGGGCTTCCATGTTGTTCATGATCCTGGCTCATCAGCCAAGATACCTGGGCCCAGCAGTAGGCACAAGAAGAAGCAAATTGGATGAAATAAACCCAGCATGTAGAAAGAGATGGGCTGGATGGGCATTCCTGAGGCATCCAGCCTTGTCGTCCCGCTGAACCCCCAGCCCAGCCTCCCACTCTGTCTTTCCGGCTCTGCTAAGCCAATCAAAACATTGCCTCTTTTGCTTAAGTTGCTTCAAGTTGGAATTCTGACACTTGCTGATAAGCAACACTAGCATATACACACAATCGTAACAGATTACTACTGCTATTATTATGTGGGGGCACACGTGTGATGGCATGCATGTGAGTTAGAGGTCATCTTTGTGGAATCAGAGCTCTTCTGTCTCCATGTGGGTTCTGGAATTAAACTCAAATTTGCACAGCCAAGTGTCTTTCTTTACTGGCTGGGTCATCCAGCCAGCCCCACAATACGTAATTTTCTTCTATTCTTTTATAACCGTTTACTCCTTATCCCTTTGTCTCTTGTTTTGTGTCTTTTCTTCAGTATAATTTTTCTTTGCTCCTCCACGCTAATTAGAACATTATACATCCTGGTTTAGATTTTAACAGCAGTTACTTTTAATGATTTCAGAAACGTACCTCCCTACTAACCCGTTTCTGAAAACACAGTTTCTCTATTTGTCAAGGGGAGAAATGAGACAAACCGGAAGGTGAAGAACCTGATGCTTGAGTCGCGCTTTCTCCTCCACACCTGCTTGGCTGCTGCCTCTAATGCCATCCCTCGCTCACGATTGACCTCGGCCTTTTTATTCCACCAGAATTTTCTAGACTTGGTTCCAACACTCGCATTCAGTTATACACATCACAGATAGGGCTGAGGGCAAGCCCACTGCTGTGCCCACCATTAACCGTTTCAGCAGAACGACTGCACCCCTGTCCCTGGGCTTATAAGGGTTTTCTTTCATCTGGTACGTATTTCTTTAGACACATCGCTGGGGCACCTGCCCAGAACTTTGGTCCCATGAGCCCCTTATGATAAGCTACTTTCAGGGTAGGAGACTCAGTTCTTTTTTTTTTGCCACTTAAATATGTAGGCTTTATAAAACATAAATCTCAAAAATAAATTTCTATTAAAAATATGTGAGATTTTGATTAGAAAACTCAAGTGACTGGAGAGATGGCTCAGTTACTAAGAGCATTTTGTAGAGGACCAGAGTTCAGATTCCCCCAGACACCATGTGCAAACAGCCCCACATGGACACACATGTGTATACATAACTCAAACAATAAAAACAAACATTTTAAAAAGTAAAAGGAACTCAAACTGGAGACTCAGTTCTTTCTTCTTCCTCTTTTGAAAATAAATCTCCCCGAATCTAATTACTAAGCTTAGTCTTTCATACTTTGCTAAGGCTGTTGTGCCTTTTGTGTTTTTATGAATTCTTGCAGTGAGAAATCGAAAGAGACTAGAGATGAAGAGCTCTTGCCAAGGACCTGCTTGCAGTACCCAGGGCTCACAATGGCTAACTCCAGTTCCAGGGGATCTGATGCCCTCTATTGGTCTCTGTGGGTACTGCACAGGTTCGGACGTACCACACAGATAAAAACATTCACACAAAAGGAACGAACATCTACTAGGAACCATCTGATGGATCCTTTAAATGGACCGCTCAACCACAGGCGTTACTTCACTTTTACAAGGGGATGAAGATTTTCCAGGTGTTTGTGGACTAGCTACAGTTTCCTCTTTCTGAAAAAAAAAAAAAGTGTATGTGGAATTGCACCTTTTGTCAGTAGTATCTTTTAGTCCATGTTTTCCAGTGGCTGTAAGTAAAAGTGGCATGACCTATTTATTGCAAGTATAGTTTGTGGCTACACGCTGCCACATTTTCTGGTGCCGGGGGTCACACCCAGACCTTCTATGCTCCAGGCCGTTGCTCTGTCACTGAGCAACAGCTACCTCCCCAGCTCTGGGTGCAAGCATTTCTTGCACACACAAAGATTAAAATATTTTACGGATTAAATCAGTTGACATTTTTCTTTGAACTCAATTCTAATTTGATAAGTTTTTGGAGCTCCAACGATTTAATTATGTTTTCTTCTGTTGCTAATGAAAGCTTTTAAATTCATCTTGTATAGCCTAATTTTCAGAAATTTGCACACAGGAGGAAAGAGTTCAAAGCCCACCTGTGTCATGTTTTAGCTGTATGATCTTGGGAAATGCAATTATCAATCTCTTTATAAAATGAGAATAACAGTTCTAGCCACATCGAAATGAATGATTTTGATGATTAAATTAGGATTCATTTGTTCAAATATACATGCTGGGTATCTGTTTTGTGCCAGGAAGAAATCTAGGAGCCATGGATACAGCAGCAAACAATACAAGCCAAAAACCCCCACCTCCCAGGACCTGACATTCTCCTACAGTGGGGTGTGTTCAGCAAACGCATGCTAGCTATTGGCATCGCTAGTTTATTGATTTGGCAAGAGAAATAGGAGAGACCCAATTTATTTGTATTTATTTATTTATTTTTACTAACTCGTTAAGCAGCTCTTCAATTTTTTTTTCAGCTATCATTGACTATTAAACTCCCAAGAGTTTGCTGGGCCATTAAAACATCTTCAATATTGCAGTTTGCTTTCTCCGGCATTGTTTGTGGTTAACGTTGCTGCTTTTTGTTTAAAATAAAAGGAAACAAGCAAGAGGAGTAACGAACCTAACTGGGCCTCAGTTCACCTGCAGCTGCGCCAGAGCCCCTCTCTCCATCTCCCACCCTCAAGGCTGTTACACACTTCTAGGGCACCCTGCCGCTGCAGGATAGCGTTTCACCACTGTAGCCTCGCCCTGGAGGAAGAAAGGGGTGCTCCTTCCATGGGTTCCTCTGATTCTAAATCGTGGGTCCTGATTTAAAGAGAAATGAGTTATGAGGTTTGGGATGTTGCTAACGAAGAAACTGTATAAAACACAGGACATACCAGCATACCATAACCCACTTGGTGCTGCTTAGTTGTTTTGTTTTCTGCTGCTATAACAAAATGTCTGCAACTGAGAATAGAAATATACTTAGTTCATTGTTCTAGAGCAGTAGAACAATGGGTTCTCAACCTGTGGGTCTCAACCCCTTTGGGGTTTCATATCAGATATTTACATTATGATTTGTAACAATAGCAAAATGACAGTTATGACGTGGCAATGAAATAATTTTATGGTTGGGGGTCACCACGACATTAAGAAACTGTGTTAAAGGGTTGCAGCATTAGGAAGGTTAAGAACCACTATTCTAGAGGTGAGGTGTCATTAACTGGTGAGGGCTTCCTGCTGCATTGTAACGTAGTCGAAGCATGCACCTGCTCAGGCTTCTTTCTTATAAAGCCAATAATGCCTGCATTATTTACTGCTAATTATCTCTCAAAGGAGCTCGTACTGGTATCAGAGGCCCACAGAGATGGCTCTGCTTCACATTGACTTAAGGTCAGAGAGTTCAAAAGTGTCCTTAGTCTTCCAAGGTTAAAATCTTAAGATCTAAAGGTCTAAGGTGTGGCTACTGTAGGATGTTTGATGCTGTTTGTGGATGTCTTATCTAAATAACAACAACAGACTTGGTCTGAGTTGTGGTTACTCTTGACCCACAAGGTCAGATAATGAGAAAGGTGTGGTTACCAAATGTTTGGAGAATTAAAGAAGAATGTTTGTTCATTGTGCATGATAAAGAAATCTTTTGCCATGTTCCCCTTTTGTTGGGGTATTCAAGGATGTTGAAGAATAAACTTGGGGTTTCCAGCATTCACTGGTTTGTCCTCTTGATTCTACCCTGTGTCTCTGT